AGTTTAGCCATCAACAAGTAAACAACACCGGATTTGGTAATGATGACCATGTCGATCTTTTGGAGGGGGTAAACCATTCGTCCTTTTTCTGTGAGGCCATGGAAGAGAGAAAAATTCTGAAGCCCACATCTTAAGAGAAGTTATCACTTTTGCATATGGTCTTGAGAAAAGAGAGCCGACTGGCCAGGGGGTTGATGTTATGGAGAGTGAGTTTATAAAAGAAAGAGAGGCCTAGAAAGAAAACCTTCAGGAAGAAAGAAAAAATCTAACTTTGGCAGGGAAGGGGAAAAGAAAAGGGGAGGGGTTAATTTTTTATAAGAGAGTCTAAAGAAAGGAGGGGTAAAAATAGGGAAGGGGAAGTAAAAGGATATGGGAGAGGGGAAAGAAGAAAGCAAAGAGAAAAGGAGTAAACACTTAAAAATTTCCTAAAAAGGAAATTTCCAAGTGCAGAAGGGGGAGTGGAAAAGAGTTTTTTTTTTTCCTCATGTCTTTATTTCATTTGTTAAAGTTTCTATTCTATATTATTAATTTTTACTGAGTCTCCTTTAATTAAAATATTTTTGGGATTTACCAGTTTGTGTTTAGATTTTTGATCTTTAAAAGTGATTATAACATATTGTAACAAGTTTTGGATTTTTATTGTAATTCCTTATATTTGATTATATTTGACAAAAGCTTGTATAAAAGTTTTAATAAAATTGTTAATAATTTCAAAAGACAATAAACTTAAGCAATTACTATTTTAATACCAACAGAGTTTGGAGTTTATTAAGGTCAAAAGAACATTTTTTTATATATGTTGACTTTATACAATATAAAAATACATAGATAAATAAATATAAAAATATATATATCTATATAAGACTTAATTTCCAGAGGCATATATACTTAATTAATATAAAGAAAATATAAAGAAAATAAAAAGAAAATAATATAAACAATATGTATGGTCTATGGCCTTATATTTCTAATTTGGTTACATTAGTTTATAGTAATTAATTAGTAATGTCTTGACAATATGGTATATCATCAGAAGTTGGAATTATATCATATATATATTTAACAATTGTCTGAAAATATGTTTCAAACTTGTAAATTATTAAGGGCAGATCAGATATCTTCTAGAACATCCAGATTATCAGGTACAGTATGGATTCTATAGTATAATTATAGATCAAAATTGTTACAGCTTGTTTAACTTTTATAAGTTTTGTATTCAAAGAAATATTTTATATTATAATGAAATTTTCCTTATTGATCTTTTGATATTCAGTTTTCATATGTATCAACCTGTTGTTATCTATTTTTGGAAGCTCTATAGTTGTTATATAATCTGTTACATATTGATCTGCAAAAATAACAATAATATATATATATATATTTTCCATTTGCTTTGTACTATTAAAAGTTTTTCAAAAAAGTTAAGAGTTAAAATAATATGTTTTTCAAAAAAGTTAAGAGTTAAAATAATATGTTTGGTTTTGATATATTGTTTTTTTTTAACTAGTTTTATTTGAATTCTTACTTTATAGTATTTTTGTTTATATCTAATTGTTCTATTAAAAAGTAATTTTAATTTTGATCTACTTTGTGAGTTATCAATTTCTTTACTTTTGCTTTTGAAAATTAAAAACTATCTCTATTCCAGTTTACTTTTTTTTTTTGATTTTTATCTCTTTGTTTATATTATTGATTCTAGCTGTTTGAGATTTTTAATTAGTGATGTGTTTATATTTTTCTTATTGACTTTCTGGCTTACTAAATATGCTAAAGTATGTTTTTACAATATTGCTCCAGGATATAGTTGAAGTTACTAATTTCTGTTAAGTGAAGTGTTTAATATCTTATTGTTGTTAATTTTCTTGTGATGTTTTTTTTTTATTGTGTATTAATATTGAATATATTTTTTATGATTTGTTAATAAGTATTAAAAGTTGAATTAACTAATTATTGTATAGGTTTCTTTATATATAATTGCATTTTGACTGAAGTTAGTTCTTTTACTGCTTTTCTCTTATATCTCAAAATATGTTCTGTTGTTGGAGAGAAGTTATTGAAAGCTTTAGAGTTTTTATTATAGCTTGTTATCTTTTTTTGACTTTTATTTTGTAAATTTCCAAAAAAAGAAATTTTTAAAAAATCTGTTGTATATAGGAAAAAGTTTTTTTTTTGCTTTGTTATATAAATATTTTGTATTTTTATTTTTAAATATTTTATTTTGCTTTATTAACTTTTGATATATTTATATATATTAACTTCTTTATATTTTTTAAATAATTAAAAATTTTATTTTATTTAAATACATATTTTAAAAATAAAATCTTCAATTTTATAAATTAATTTAATAATATAAAATATTATTATAATAATTTCAAATTACTTGATTAAATTTAAATAATTTTTAAATTTTTAATAGACATTTATAAAATTTTATTCAAAGTCAATCATTTATTAATTAAATAATTTATTATTATTCATATAAGTTTAATTATCCAACATATAATTATAATAATCTATTTATAAATATTTATAAATATACAAGTTTAGATAAAAAAATTCAACAAAGCTTTATTATTAATCTACTTTTTATATCAATAAAAATTTTTTTAAAAAGAATAGCCATTAATTAAATCAAAAGAATTTGAAAATTTCGAAAAAGAAATTTTTTTAATTCTTGCAAGTTTGTTTAATAAAATATCTTTTAATATAAAAATTTATTATATTGAATAATTGATTTTTAAAACAATGATAATTAAAAATCATAATCTATAGAAATTATATTTGTTTTTTACATTCAAAATTATAATAATAATAATTTTTCATTTAATTAATTGCGAATAGAGATTTTCAAAAAAAAAAAAAGCAAATCTAAATTTCAATTCCATTAATAATAATGTTTTTATATGAAGGAACAAAAATCGAAAATTGACTTTCAAAAAAGAAAAGAAAATTTATTTAAAATTATACTGTATATAGTTTTATAAATTAATTAATCATATGTGCATCACGTGTAACATCTATTTATAGTATTTGGACTAAAATTATCCTAATCAACTAACCAAAATTAAGCGATTTCTCATTCATTTTTTACAGGCCCTGATGATTGTCGATTAATAATTTAAGGAAGATAAAAAAAGGCTTAGATAATATTACCACACTTATTTTTTAAGCTGACCTTTTTTATTAGATGTGTCAATCTCAATCTTTTTTTTAAAAAACTCGTTTTAATTTGAGTCAGCTGCAGTGATTCTATTGTTCAAATTCAATTCAATAGTCGCTTGAAAGTTTAGGATTGACAATAAGTTATTACTGGTTAGGATGAACTGATATATGGATTTTCAAAATCGTGACCGTATACTATCCAATCATATTAATCATAACCCTTAGAAAGAGAAATAATTCAGTTAAATTGCAAAGCTAAATATTTATCAACCTTCCTTGTTTTTGATCTAGGATACAGTCCCGGATTAGATTTAGCGTGCAGCTTCAATGTTTCCTGCAGGAGCATTCATTAAAGAATAGTAAATTTTGCGAACAATTACTTAATATGAATACACTTTTCGTTTTGTTAAAATTTAGCCAGAATAAAGCTCATTAAGTCGTGTACTCCATCTCTTTAGAACGAGACTTCATTAAGTAGAGATGGTCAAAAATTTTTTATAAAATAACTACAACTTCAATAATACCAAGGGTCTCAAGGGTCTCAAGAATTTGAGAACTTTAGAACTCCAATAATCTATTTGTAAATAAAAAATGTCAGGTAAAAATTATTAATTTTATAAATTAGCTTCCATATTTTAAATATGAACTTACCCTTATGTATTAATTATATATTAAACAATAGGAACAAACGTATTGTTACTGTTATTATTGCTATCCATAATTAACATTTCCACAGAATATGTTATCAGCAATGAACCTCGTAATGAAATCGCTCCTCTTGCGCCTCGTAATGAAAACGCGTCTCTTGACGAAATCGCGCCTAGTGATGCTCATTATTACCCAGTGCATGAATTTGAATTAATGATTCATGGAAATTCCACATTTTTAAATAAAGTATGTGTTCATTGGATTGATGCGCATCAGAAAGAGGCTTGGCATGATTGTAGTATAAATACAGCAGGTCTAACGGCGACAACTACTCCAAACTGGTCATCCGGATATAAATTTTCTTTTCATTTCCAATTAAATACAGATCACTACGGACCTGTATTTTGGTGGGATGGATGGAAAGGAATGGCATTTTGCAATAACTTAGTAATACACAATGTTATAGTCGGCTCAAAGTCTACCTTCACTCAATTTACTAAATGGCAGAAGTGCAACCTTACATGAGCTTAAAAGTGCATTTTATTACTATTTGACAAATGCGGTTATATATAGGCTTTTAACAATCATTTATGTACAATATATTCTTTGCATATTGTTCTTGTTTATTTAAAAGTTTAAAAATATGACACTTGTAATAAATTGTAAGTTATATAATAAATTACAATTCCACTACATATTCTCTATACGACTCTGAGATGAGCGAAGAGTTATATGAATTCCAGTGATTAAAGTCAAAATAAAGCTCTCGATAATCATCCTCATAACTTCTGATTATATTGTAATAATATATACGTCAATTTCACAAGCAGGCTTCCTAACTTTTCAAGTCCTCCAAACTAAAGTTGACATTTTAGATTATTTAACTGGCTACATTTTACCTAAAAGTGTTATTTTTATACAATATATTATGGTAATTTTTTAATTACGTTTCCAATATACGTGAAATGTAAAAAGTAATTATGCTTAGAGAAAATACACTTAGATTTCAAAATTTAAATCTTGGCTTGCAAATGGCAAGAAAACAATACATTAATATTAATAAATGATAAATTATCTCACCCTTTTTGTACAGTCCATCTTCGATGTAAAAAGTCTTAACGTAACGAATGGGTATATTAAAATTACTCTCGATGCAATGAATATACAAATTAAAATTCCGATAACTTTCGCTATATATGAAGCTAGGGTGTTGGATAATCACTTCGTTGTATAGAGGGAAGATTGTAATTTGGATATATATTAAAAGTTTTGTCGCAACCAATTATGATAAATTTAACACGTGATGTTATGAAACGGTTCGCCACGATATTATTTTTACATTGTTACAGGCGTTCCCGGCGAGTCTGTCGCCAGTTCACAATACTTCTCGCGTAACGTAACGTCGGCTAATCCACAATAAGGTAAGTTTTTTCTTTACTCTTGAGTGTCTTCGATTTGGCCGTCCTTCACTTTAACTTTTCTACTGACCAACTTAGAACCCTTCCTATGCCAATTCCCTTAGACAAAACCTTGGTTCTCTCTCGTAGTCGCGTAGCCCAAGTTACAAGTCTTCTGTCGCTCACTGAACACAAGGTAAGAATTTATTAACAAACTGTACTTTATTGTTTTAATGCTAGCGTACTCTAAAATACTCCTCTCCAAATACTATCTTTCACTAATAATACTAAGTAGTATTCAAGAAAATTGTTACTTGATAATTGATT